CTGATTCATCAGTGTGAAAACAAATTTTTAAAAAAGAATTCAGTCACATTGCCACCCACACAACAGTACCAGAGAAAATAGATAATTATGCACCAGTACCTGCAGTGGCACTATGAAGTGCGCTCCTTGAAGAATGCATGCTTTGTACTGTGGGGCTCTTTACTTCGTTGTTGTTGTTGTTGTTTCAGCACTTGGCACATTAAATGGGTGATGAATTAGAAAGGTTGACTTCCCCCATTGAGTGGGATGTTTGTACAGTCAGAGAAGGAAAGTGTGGCACAGCAATACATTTACAACACGTTTTCTGGTTGTGAGGGATGTTAAAGCTGATTACAGAGCACTGTCTCATTAATTTGCTGCCCAGATTTTGAAAGTGCAAATCCTCATTCATCTTTTGAGTTAAACCAACCCTCCCCCCCCCCAAGCCATGGTGGCAGGAGCTGATGGGAGAAAAATAAGTCACAAGAAATTCCTAATGCGTTTCAGTTTAGCTGGGGAAATTTTACTCCTAAATGCTGTGAAAATTTACTCCTAAATGTGGGTGCTTTTACTTGTTTAGGCAGCAGACCCAACACAGAGATGAGCATACAGTTGCAACACATGGCAACAACTTAGTAGCTGAGTACATGGTTTGCAGGCATAAAAAGTGTAACATTCAATCCAACTACCTGTGTGAAGAAACTGAGGAACACGGTAGATGGAAGTCATTTTGTGTGACCCAGGAATAGGTCTGAGAAGATATTTTCTAGATACTGTATTTCTAGCAGACTTTAACCCAGCAACAGAGGTTAAAGCACCTACACTCTTTATCTCATGAGAAAGAAATCTTCAAAGGCAGTGTTGCTGGGCTATGCTTGGTACTGCTCTCATTAAGAGAAATGCTTTCAGCCATGTTGGAAGGCGGCTAGAAAGGAGAACCATTTTCTTGAAGCTTCCGGGAAGAATGGAATTTGATTGGTGGACTCATTGGAGCCATTTTGAAGGGCACCTTTGGAGCTTAAAGGGATTCAAGAAGTTACTTTAGGAGTGCTTAGTTAACCTGATAGCAGCAAGCTTTGTTTCATTGCTATTTCACCTTGCTGCATAGAATCGCATTTTGTTTATGCTCAGAACCTATGCTGTCCTCAGTGCGTTAAGTGAGCGTTAGAGAGTTGGGTTACATTATTATTTTGATAGCTAGTCTCTTGCTTTTCCTTAAACTCGTCTTGCCTTGAATTTTGCCTTTTCTATTCTTTTTTAAAATGCTTTTTGCCTTTTGGTACCTTTAATAAAATATAACTTTTCCTTCACTTGAAGACCTGTTTATAGAGTTGGAACTTTTTGGTACTAAATCCAACCGTGCACGTCAACTACCTACTGAGATTTTAGTCTTTTTGTGTGTGTAGAGGCAGCGTTTCCAACCCCTCAACTGGTGTGCAAGTAAAGGGCACAGCCTTGTGGGTTCCAGAGTTCCTGGAGGCACCGCCTGGTCAAAGCCAAGCTGGATGTGTTTAGAACTGAGATTTCCCTAAGAGTTCACAGTGAGAGCCAGAGCCTGCCTGCCTGCTTGAATTTCATACTGGGGAAGTGAAAGGTAGCATAACTCAGTGGCTAGAGCAACCCCTAGATATTGTGGCACAGTTAATAAGATAACAAGAAGCTGGACAATGGAGAGCCACAACAAACAGAATTCACAGAACCTGGACCATTTGATGCTTCCTAAGAACAAGACATATTTTGAGCTTCTAAATACCAGGTCAGTTTTTTAAGGAAACCAAATATTGTAATGCTCCTGGTTTCCCAAGTTCTAGTTTTCAAGCTTTGAAAGGGCAGTTCTACAAATGCCTGTGAAATCCAGAAAATGATCTACAGAGCAGTAAAATGCCTGGTCTTAAAACATTTTGTTAGAAACAGCAGATATTTGGGCATTTTATTGTTCCACTGCTCACGGTTATTATGTTTACTTTTATGATGTTGTTTTAGCTCTCCGTGTGACAAGAAATTTTATGATAGTTGTTAATGATTTCATTGCTTTGGATTTTATTGTAATATTTTTGTTGCATTATAAGTACTTCACATCTTTTAAACATTTTAAGTGAAAACAAGAACCATACTTAGTAACCATACTAAGTAAACATTGATAGTTAGCAAACATTAATAAACAATAAATAAAATATATAATAATAGTTCCTTTTATTCATTTTATTAAGAATGGAAAAAAATCTTCCTTCTAAGTAATTTATCTTACTAGGTGATCAGTTACTGCCAACATTATTTTGACCTTTTAATTTTTTCGTATTAAGTGAAGCTTTTTTTAAAAGATAAAATACCATAAATGTAACACCAAAATATTGGTCAGTTCTATTCTACACTGTGAACACTGATTAGAAATTCACAAACCCAATTCTCTTTACATTGTTAGTCTACCACTCCAAGAGTATGGCTAGCTGAAGATTCTACATTAAGAAGTAACTTAGAGAAGGACTGTTAAAATGTCATTGCTTTATTATTAATAATACCTATTATTCTGGTTTCTTCAAAATTCTGGGCAGTGTGATTACAGTTCAGTTCAGCAGTTTGTACTGATTCGGACAATGGCCCAACAAGTGTTCTACAGTTCAGCCCTCTGCCCCCCCTCCAGAGGGCGCCTGCTCAGAGGACAATATATAACAATTTCTATAACAAAGCAAAACAAATACTGTACATTTATATTATATTGACTGAAATCCTGTTGAGTGGTTATGTGGGCATAACTCAGTGTTCTCTCTGTGGTAGCTGCAATTGTGACATGGCGAAAGTGGTATTCCATAATCTAGAACACTGGTTCTTAACCTTGGGTTACACAGGAGTTTTGGACTGCAACTCCCAGAAGCCTTCACCACCAGCTGTCCTGACTGGGGTTTCTGGGAGTTGCAGTTCAAAAGCATCCGAGTAACAAAGGTTAAGAACCACTGATCTAGAATACCACTTTCGTATTGATAACACATAACTGCAAACACAGTAACTAGAAGCATGACATTTTGCAGTGATGGGGAAGTATATTATACATTGTATACATTTCCATGTGGAGAATAAGCTATATGTTGGTCTTGTGACCGGGGCACCTACTGCCAGTGGTGACTGTCTAACACATTTGCATGCTGATACTAATGGATGGTTTTCTTTACTAAACTTCAAATTGACGACAGGAGGGGAAGTAGCTTAAAACTGGAACCATCCACTTGCATTATAAGTACAACGTCCACACGTGAAGGATGCTGATCAAATTTAATATCAGAACCCTGCCTTCACTCATCCTGCCTACGTGCACCATAAACATATCATGAAGGATGTACAGAGACATCAGGAGTAAATAGACGAACTGCATATCCCTTCTGTAACTCCATCTCATCTTTTTCTTATGATTTAAGTTGCCTTGATTTTAAGCACAGCAAAACTGGCACATGCAGGATCTCCACAGTTCCTAGTTTACATATTTCCTGATTTTTCTCACATCAGGCAAGAAGGCAACCAGTTGTGGAAGCTACTGATGAAGGTAAAATATCCTCCACTGACCAACCAAGTTTACTTCTAGGACAATTTCTTCCAGACCTTCAGTATAAGAAATAAGCAAAAGACTCAATGTTGGAATTTAATGCTGGAAAAATGCATTTCTTCAAGCCAGTGGTGCAAAAACAGAAACATATACTGCAGCTTTACAGCTGCTCAAATAGGTGACCCTGCAGCTGCAGCTCTTTCAGTTCATTCATTCCATGGCTTTTTCATGTGGATTTTGCCAGATAACAGGCAACCAGCAAAGACTACGGCAACAGTGTGTTATGTGGTTGGGGAATTGTTTCAGGTAAATATCAAGCTGCTGTATTTTGACACCTGAGGTTTCTACATGTATATCACACTATCGTAACCCAATACACAAAACAGGTAATCATTGCCTCCAAGGGGGGAGGCTGGGAAAGCAGCCAAATTGAGAAGAATGGATCCAGGGAAACCCGACGTGTCATGAAGAAGCAGCATGCTGCTCAATATGGCTGAATCGCTCCAAGCTAAACAAAGTACAGAGTTTTGTTCCACAGGTTGCAGCTCCCTTCCTCTGGTTTTGTTCCTACCCAACAAAGAAGGGAAGGTTCTGAAGAGCAAGTTCTGGATTCTTTCCTTGGTTGTTTTGGGGAGGGATTAAAGAAGAGAAGGGAAAGTATCTACTGCCAGACCACACAAGGAAGTCATAGTTCCCAACCTTTTTTTGAGTTGCGACACCCTTTTATAATAGCCATGTAACCTATGAACCCACCCACCCTGACACGTTTGCCTAAAAAGGCAGTTTCAGTGGGTAAAGGCATCCCTTCTCAGAAAGTAGAGGCGGCTTTCTCCCTGTGCCCCAGCGTCTGCTGCTCATACATATGCACAGACGCTACCTGTTACGTCCTGCTCTGAAAGGTCAAGACAGAAATTATTAAACAAGGGCTACAACAAATAAAAGGTAGCATGTGACACACACAGAAAACACTTCATGACCCCCTTAGGAGTCACGCCTCCCCCCAGGTTGGGAAACACTACAATAAACTAACTGCTCTGTGGCTTGTTTAGCTCTAAGCAGGACAGATCAGGCACCATGTTGTTCACTCATGTGGATCTCTGTCTTACCAAGTTGTGCAAATGTAAAAATGTATATACATAATTTCTCATAAATAATGAGATCCCCTCACCAGGACACTATCATACCTCCCCCATGTCAAGTCCAGTGTGATTGCCAATTCATTCCATTTGTAATTATGCTCCTTGCCACTCTACTAATTCCAAGTGCCGCTTGTGAAATGCCAGAACACATACGCCATGTTAAGAAATGTCCACATTTTCCCATTATCCTATTTTGTTGTGGAGAGAGACAACCACAGTCTGCTTCTGGCCAGCAACGACATGTCAGTAATCCTAATCTACTGTTAGGATTTCTGTTATCAGGAAGTGTTATGAATAATTATATGTTAATCGTCTTTTATCCTTACTACAGAAACTGAAACACTGACCTGGTTGTGGTGTTCAAGCACACTGTCCCCTGGATTAGTTGACAATGTAAGACATCAGCCTCTGAGCCCAGCTGAAGAATAGATATCTAGACAGAGGAACAAAGTGAATTAAAAGAGATACTTAAAAAGTATTTCTAAGGAATACATAATGAGCCATTTAAAATGGGCTCAAAATAATGTAACTAAAAGAAAATCTTTTTAAGCCTCTTAATCACTGGCCAAGAAATGATTAAATAGACTCTTTTAAAAAAAGGAATTACAATTACATTAAAATAGTACTGTAAGTCATAGGGAATATTTATATCATTTACCTGGCTTTTTTTGTTTTATGTATGTACACATGTATGCATGGACACTTATAGGTGTGTATATTTTAATTCAAATAAGTATTTTACTTACAGCCCCAAAAAGGGAGAAACCTTAGATTATTTATTGTAAAAGTCACATGAAAGCAAATGAATGTGAGATCTATTAATATCAGTTTATGTTGAATGTTTGACATTCCAGCCCGAAATGTGTTCACTGAGACCAGAATCAAACATTAGAGATAACCCATAGTACAAGCATATGAATATTGCAGACAGGTTATTGAGGCAGTCTTTCCGTATTTGTATAATTAAACCAAAGATATCCAGTGCAGTACAGTGGACAGAGTGATGTACTAAGACAGAAAACCTGGATTCAAATCCCTACTCAGCTATGGGGATTCACTGGGGGAGGCAAGTGGTGGCATTGGTAAAACCATTCCTTTAATATTGCCAGGGCTTGAAAAATGTTAGAATGTCTCACCACTCAGTCAAAAATTTCACCAGTCAGAATGACAGGATGATACCCTTGCAATTTATTGGGACTGGGAATCACTGATTTATACCCTCAGACGCTGATTGCTTTATTACCTGCATGCCCATGGGGTCATGAAGCTTGTATTTTGAATGCCTTTCTTTTGAATGTCTCCAGCAAAAAGTTGCTTTATTATTCTCCAACATGGGAGTACTCTACATTCTCCTGCAGAGCTATACAGTATCTCTATGTGCCGCTCAAACTCTCTTCTCGCAAGAGGGCTGTTTTCCTTTTCCAATGGGAGTGGGGAGGGGAGGACTGCAGGATTAGAAAAAGAGAGAGAGAGGTGGAGGGTAAGGAGGCAGGGAGAGAGGGAGCTGTGGTTCATCAAGCAGCATTTTTTACTCGTCACAGAGGAGTGGACGAGTGCAATTTTCAAATCCTAAATATCGCATTTACCTTGAAATCCCTGTTCGCATTTTTCAAATCCTAAATATCGCATTTACCTTGAAATCCCTGTTAGGATTACTATAAATTGGTTCCAACTTGATAGCACAAAACAAGTAACAAAAGGATCAGACTTGAAAGGGATCTTGTCCTCAAACCCTGAAGATGAAATTACCAAACAGAGCATGCTAATTTGCATAATGGCAGGAGGGGAGAGAAGCTTGTCCTCTGACAAACACCCACTTTATTTTAAAAAGTTGACTCTGTTTACGGCAAGCACTAAAATCTGGGAACCTCTCAAAACCCATGCCAAAGATTTGCAATCATATCATACTATTTTGCAGCATACATACCCAAAATGGTGAAACTGCAGCACACAGTAGCTCCAATCGCCTCAAAAACCTTTCATTCCTGACCTATGCCAGTTTTGCAATTTAAAACAACAACAATTTTTACAGCAATTTGAAGTGCAAATCCTGCATTTTTGCAGCACTCCCCAATGCTGAAAACTGGCATAGCCAGCACAGGAGCTAACAAGCACCTCAAAACCTACACTGTCTTTTCTGCTACACATCTATGCCAAAATTCCATGAGTTTTTCATATTTTGTACATAACCTTATGCCCTGGTATAATGCCCTGCGATTCATACAGGAATCACGTGGTTTTAGGCAGTCATTTTTCACCCACTGAGAACTAATACACCATCATCATTATGTAAGGCTGTGGCTACCATGAAGAGGAAAATAAGGAAGGTGAATTTATTTGGAATAACAAAGGCAGTGGCTATCTTTCTTGTTCTGTTTTATATACCCTGCAGTATTACAGAAAGTGTTTTTGCTTTGTGGGACTCCCACTTTCCCTTTCAATACGTGTGCATAAAAGCTTTAGGAGAAGCATCTCATTTCTTAAACACACACACAAAAAATCAAATCTAGGTATAAAGAAGAGAATTCCCCAAATGCTAAAACCATGTCACTCAAAACGTATGCCTAGATTTTGCAGTTCTTACGCAATTGCTAAGCACTGTATAACACCCAGTGGCAGAAAGGATATTTCTACATTCAGCATATTTCTATCTTTTCTTTTTCATTTACTACTTTTATTTCAGTTGCCAAATGTTGGTTTGGTGCAGAGAAGAAAAATAAATTAGACCAGACATGGAAATACATTCTGGCTGCAAGTTCAGAAGCTTGTGTGCACTTGAATGTTTCTCTCTGGCCTGTAATCCAGGATCAGCCGGTCAGTTCAGCTATGCAAAGGACTCAGCCATAAGTGGAAATCTAGTGTGGCGTGGATGTTAAGGCAAAATGCAAAGAATGGGCCATATGCTGCTGACAAAACCAGAACTACAAATGTTGGCTTCTTAACTAGCAATAATTTGCCACTGAAATTTATATTGATTGGTATGCACTAGCGTTTTATATTCTTGGCTGTTGAGAAGAAGTTGTGTTTTACATGTGTATCCTTTGTGTTTGGCACATACAGTATTATTATATTAATGTGCACAGACATACATTTCTTACATTTCTAATATACATTTCTTATTATATTGATATAATAATATCATATATACATAGATAAGAAATGTAACAAAAATCTATGCAACAAAGGTACAAATTCTTTGCCACATTTTTTATAATTGATGCATATTCAGTAACCCATGATTTGTGAAAGTAGGCTGCACCAGGATTCTGAAAAATCTTTGAAAATTATCCTAATCAGTTGATAATTGTTCAGGGTTTAGCAGAGAGTGAGTTCTCAGAAAGAGGGCAATGTTAATAACTAATGTCACATGGCTTAGTGGCATGCTTCAGCTATAAGAAGCAGATGGCTTTATACATTAGCATCTGAATAAGACCATGAAGTTCCTAGTTGAGGCTGCTTAGAGAAAGAAGGGGTATAAATATACATACACAAATATAATTTCTTTCCCACAAAAGATGGTGGCTTAAAAGAGCTACTAAACAAGCCTATACGTGGAGGTACTTGAATCGTACACTGGCACAGCAGCGATGCTATTGTGCTACTGAAAAGCAAGCCTTTATGTTTTTATGGTTTAGAAAACAATGGGAAAGGAAGGTGTTAGCTGTTCAGGAAATTTTACATGAAAAGGAAACATGAAGTCATTTAAGAAGGGACAGTAATTAAAATCCTCAATGAAAGATAAGTATTGAGCTATAGATTTGTGAAAGGAGTGATGGCCAACATGTAATTCCTAGATACAAAAAAAAGACAAAAACCTTATGTTGCCTTAAAAGAAAATCAATAAATGTTCTTTATATATTGGAATAAATGAATTGTTATAGACAGTTTACACCAAACAAAACTGTGTTTTTTTTTAAGTTTAGGAAGGTTTCTTGTTTTTGCGGCAACAAATTAGCACCGCTAGTCACTTACGCCATCCTGGAAAATGCTGTATATAAAAATAAACTAAAATTAAGCTGAAATCCACAGGGCAGACTCCCTGCATTCTGGAACTCCACCCAATATCCAGAAAACACAAAACAAAATTAATTAAACTTTAAATCCAAGATGGACTATAAACATGGAGAGACATGGCAGCTTCAGTTAACACAGAATGAAAAAGGCAGCAAGTGAGAGCCTTTGGGAGAGAATTTTAAATTAAAAAAAAAAGGAATAGTTGTCAAACACCCATCCTTCCAGAACAAATTATTTCTCAGACTACTGAGTATATCCAAACCTAGTTATCTACTGGATGTTCCACTTCACAAATGTACTAATGCAGTTCTCAGCTAATCAATCAATCGACCAACCAGTCACTCAAATAGCTCAGTGGTTTAAGTATCTGGCTGTGGGCAGAGGCTGGCGATTGAATTCTCCCCTGTACCTCCTTGACAGGGACTGGACTCCATGATCCACAGGGTCCCTTTCAGCTCTGCAGTTCTAGCAGTTCTAAGATGATGATGATGATGATTGATGATTGATGATGATGATGATGTGATGATGATTTATTATTATTATTATTATTAAATTGCACCATAAATGCATTTTAATAATAGTAATATGCATATTTTGAATTATGTTTAGATATGCATATTCAAATATGAATTTCCAAAAAAACATAAAAATGGGATGAATGCATGTAAAAGTGAAACAGTCCAGATATACAATGGCCAAAATCCTGTTGCTTAGCACAGCAAATTGCACTAGAGTAGGCTAACTGAATCAGCGGCAATCTGGTGAGTCAACTTCGCCATACGTAGGTTCCATTGATTCAAATGCTTCACGGTTTGGCCCTAGTTCTACTTTCTTTCCCCTTGCAAGCTTTTTCTTGTGTCCGATTTCTGCTTCCTACCTTCTTGAAGTCTGTGCATGAATGCATTTATTTAGACACACACATAGAGTCAGTCTCACAGACACACGCTCTGACATGAAACCAGTGTTACTAATAGAATGAACAGACTCTAAAACACGCAGAAACAAATGAATTCAGGACTTTGTCTCCGGAGTGCATAAATGAACACATGCTACATCCCTGGGACATGGAACAATATTGCCATGATTTGCTGTAAATGCAAATCAAGCAGTCAGAAATCATGATTTTAAAACAGTGGAAATAAACAAAAAAAGTAGAGGGTACGGATTTTCCAAAATGGGCAAGGAATTAAAAAGGGATCATGCAAATCTAAATAGCACCCAGAGAAATTTTGATTTGAGTAGTGAACCTTTAATCATGTTGGCCACCTACACCCGCCGTTCATGATTTTAAAAGGGCTTGTGTATTTTTTAAAAAAGGCTTGGGAGCAAAATTACACAAAAATGACAAATTATATTGCCCTGACGTCTGGTGCTGTGATTTACTGTTGGCGTGGTGGTGTCTCCTTTTCCTAGAATTTT